AGGACAATGTGCAGGACTAAAGATAGAGAAGACCTCATCGGGACTTCATAGTGCCAAATACATTTTTACTCCATCTTTTTAAAATTTTGCTGTTATCCTAATGCAGGTCTGTCATTTTGAGGCCAAGACCTGGTTTAAACTACATTCCTGCAGGAAGATAATACCTTATTTCTTTCTTTTCAGTGCCCTTTCATGCATTCAAAGTAAATATCTGTGAACATTTAAACTGTTGTTGGTCCTGTGAGAATGATGGATTTTATTAGAGAAGATATTCTCTGCTGCAGTCTTATCTATCAGAAAACATGGGTATATCAAATTATTTTGTAAGTTTTACTTGCTAAAAGGTAAACCAGCTTTCTTTACAAACGACAGCATCATGATATGCTAAATATGAACTGCCACTGATGTAGATCACCATAAAGACAGGACAGAATTGTATTAGATTCAGAAAACAATACCGTTTGATCTTTATTTTAAGTATGCAATATTTTTTTTTTTAATAATGTTTCCTCCAAAGTATGATGTCATGTCATCTGCTGCTTTTGTAAGACTGATAGTTCTTCCTCCTGATACTTGAGGTTGTTTGTGCATTGGGAGCCTGAAATTCTTCATGCATCTTCTCTGCAGGCAGCTCCAGTGGTGCTCTGCTAGCTGTGCTTCAGTTCCTGGGATTATTGACCAGTGTGGGCTACTCCATTTGGATCACTGCCCTCCTGGCTGTAGAGCACATTATGCCTTCAGGTTTGAGGCTTTTAGAAGATGAGCTGCTTTGACCTCGCTGTGTTTTGCGTTTCCTTTTACTAGCTGATAAGATAAAGATATCTTAAGATAAATGAGCACTGCCCTAAAATTGCAAAAACAGCAGTGTCGCTTTTATGTACTGTACCTTGTTTGGTCACTTAAGAGTCTAGGAACTGCGCCTGTGTTAAATACAAAAACTGATATATTTTTTTAATTATTCTCTTAGCATTACACCTCTCCTAATTTTGGATATTCTGAGTGCATTAAAGTATCAATTTTTTTGTACTCTTAAAAACTAAAATCACCTTTTAACAGATTGTGACGATAAAACCTTTTATTCAATACACTCTTCAGCCTACGTGGTGGATCAAGATAGGCAGCAATCCTGATACTTTTGAATTTAAATCTTTCTAGATGCACCTTAAGCACGTCAGTAACAATACGTTTTTTTTTGTCAGCATTAATATGTCATTTTTGGAGACGATCCAGATAATGTATTATGGAGATCTGCACTGAAATAGAAGCAATTCGATTGCTATATAGCATTAGAAAGACATTTAGATACAGATATTGACAAGAGACAGCTTTCACAGTCTCCAGTTTCAAAGCTACAAATAGCTCCCGAGTCACTCTGTGGAGTGTAATTAATCCATTCCACCCCTATCCACTTGGAGAAAGACTAATTGGTTTGATTTTTAACTGATTTTTATAAGAATTAAAAATAATTAAAAATGCAGTAGGCTACACATTCCTTGAACTCAAACTAAACTGTAATTGGTTATTAACCATAAGGACAATTACACAAAACTGAATGCCTTGCTTGTTGTTTTCTAAAGGACTGTGAATGTTGTATGTAAAACCTTTGGCTATTGCTATAATGCTTCATTGTCATTTGCATTGTGTGAACAATGTTCCAGCTGGTACCTGTCACATTTTGCATAAGTGGCTTGTAACGTTCCACCATTCATTCCTGCTGATTCATGAATGTGTGATCTCTGGCTGTCGAAGGGAGGTCATTTTAGTTGTGTTTGTTTGAGAGTATGGCTAAATCCTTTGCTGTGAAGAATCTAGACTGGCCTGCTTCACATGGTTGTGTATTATATACATGTATATGTAAAAATCAGCTCTTTATTAAGGGTTCTGCATCCTTAAAACTAGGACATTGGAAATAGGAACACATGTGTACGTCTTCCCCCCCAAGGAAGAAGAGGTTGGTAAACCTCTTTAGGCATCTGCTTGTATTTTGTCCTGTGGAGCCGAGCTGTACATTATTCCGTAATGTTTAGGTGCACAATGTATAGAATCCGGTGTACCGTTTGATCTAAAAATGTTTAATTCACATCAGTATAGGTTGCATCGGTTTGGCGAACAGGAAAAAGTCTAGGGTCTGCATTAATTTCCCTTAATGACAAGCTCTTGATTAAAGTGGATTGGTCCTGTATTAGTATGGTTGCTTATCCTTCATTATGGAATGCACCCTAAGTTTGAAATCAAACTAAACCCAGTAAAAACAATGGCAATATTTTCAACAGAAATAGTTACTGAAGTCACAGAGAAATATAGTATATCATGACAGAATGCACAGTGCATGTGACTGGTGTTTGGTGTTTCAGACTGCTTCTAGGATTAATTGAATCTGGGTAGCATTATTTGTGTTTAACTTGAACCCTTTAAGCCGAACCTATGCCTCCTGAAGTGCCTTGGTCCTGAAACCATGCGTCAGACTGCTAGCCCATGGGGTCATTCATCCTGCCTGTGAGCAGCATGGCAGGATAATGTGTGGTGCAGGTGTGACAGTGGTGTGATCGCGATAGTTGTGACTGGAGCGTGAAAAAGCACCTGACTGCAGTGGCCTCTGTGTCTGAACTAGTCTGCATGAAAAGAGCACACCCCACCTCGGTCCTTGAACTCTGATGGGTCAGTTAGTGTGCTTTTTGTCTTCTTTTCTTGTAGGCCACCTTCTGCATTCTACCACTTCCTGTACTAAACCATTTTAAGTCTGCCTTGCTTTTCTGTTCTGGGTGCATTCGTTTTCAGTTTGCCATGGAAATACAAAGTGGCTAAGACGTGTGTAGGGAAATCGAGGATCCTGATGGCCAGGCCAAGCGGTGGCTGGATGGGGAACTGGCAAGAGAGTTTAGGCTCTTAAAACCTGTGGCTGCATCGTACAATCTACATTAAGCCTTGCTTTGTCAGGGTTGTGCAGCAAATCCCTGACCTGTCTTCCTGTAGGTTATTGTCACGTAAATGGGTCCTCTAATACTGTAACTAGAAATGTAATCTTCCACAGTCTGAGTGGGAGCAAATGAATGCAAAGCCCAGGACCTCGAGTGCCAAAGACCTTTGCAAAATGGCATGATGTCTTACCCCACTAAAGGTTAATGCCTTGCCTTTATTTGATGCTTTTCATTTCAGTTATCCTTTGTGATATATTACTTTAAATATCATAGATAATGTGTTTAGCTTTTAAGCAGACTGTTTTTGAATGTAACAGGTGAAGTACTCTCTTCTCTCACAGACCAAAGCATTAACTCTGGTCTTTCAGACGATTCAGTTTGAATATGAATTTGTGTTAATATGCACCTTTACTACTCTGTTTAAAACAGGAAAAGGGAAGAGACAAGAATTTGCTGCAAGAAGTGAACAAAATCAGTAAATCTCCTTCTAATATAAAGATCAGATCAGTAAAAAGACATTCACCATCTGGAAATTGTTGGATAGGGGATTAATGTAGAGTGCCGACATCTTAATCCCATGTCATTTGTGCTGTCTGCTAACATAAGTAGACATACCAACTGTGAATTGTTCATAATTGCTGTTGATGGATTTGTAATACTAGTTAGTTTTTCCCTTGGTTACATGTAACAGTTTACATATGTAATGGGTTGATCATTATTCTCTTTCTGCATAATCTTTAAACTGGTTACTAAAGCTTCCCCATATTAACTCTGCTGTGTTTGGACAGGGTGACACAAAATGAATTCATTCACTAACTTTTATGCCTCAAAACAATTGAGTCCGATTTGGTTTTTGTTTACATATGACACATGCCCAGGCCCTGCTAATAGTAGCCCATGCTTTACATTGACATTGTGATTAGTGGGTTAGTGGAGTGGTCTCCAGTATCTGCTTCACTGTAACATGAGGACAGTAATGCAGCCTAATTCATTTCATTCCCTCTTGCTTGGCGCCATCTCACTTTGCTGAAGAAGACTGCTGGCTGAGCGGTATGGGAGAGAGAAACGGTGAAGTGAGAATATCTGGTAGTGCTGGCCTCCAAAGGGCAAAGCCCGTTAACATCAGTCTGAGTAAGATTATTTCAAACGCTGTATCTCAAGCAGTGTACTGTAAAAGCACATATGAAAAGGAACCGTGGCAGGTCTAGGGGCATCCGAGGGATTTTGTTTTGCGGTAGTTAGTCCTTCTAAAAAGAAAAATCAAAGAATGAGTTAAATGCCCCTCTGCAAGGAATATTTTTATTTGCATCATTTCCCCCAGAACATGAAATGAAATCTCATGGTGTTATTATATCTGTGTGTTCTACGGGTTTGGTGTAACTATGTTCAATGTTCTTATTCTAGAGAGAGGGCGAATGTGGCTAGAGGCTGATTTCTCAGTTGATTATTGTGTTTGTAGAAAACCTCCTTTGTTAATGATTGAATGTGCTCGTTTACAAATATTTTCTGCTTTCCTCAAGGACTTGTGGATTAATATCAGCAGCTCCCAGTTTGTTTTTGAGAGATGCTTAATTCCTTATTTTTTATTCTCTACTATAACATGATCCGGTGATCATTTTTGTGAACTTTCACTAGTCTTCAAGTACAGCCTACGTTTCTCTCCAGTCTCTGAATCACCTCAGCTCTCAAGTAGTTGATGACTTCCTCCTGTTTTGCATTTGATGTGGTCAAAATGAAAAGGTGTTTTATTCTTTGCACTCTGTGATATGTCTGCTTAGTGCTTAGACATCATGGGTTTTATTTTTGTGTGCTCTGGCTAATCTTAAGAATAAGTGTTTTGCAATGTCTCTGTATATCTAAATCTGATACAGTTATTTCTGTCTTGTGTGGTGTTAGGTCCCCAACTGGGTTTACCGGTTTGTCTCTCTTTGTAGTTTGCTTACCTAAAATCACAGAATTGTTCTTGATTTCTAGGCTGTGATATATTTCGTTTCCCTGCCTCAAATTTAATCATAACGTAATTGCCTATTCTCAATCTTGTGTTATACAGTATGTGGAATGCATATCCTTACCTCACGTTTCAGTGTGAAAGGATGCAAGCGTTTTGAAGAATCTGGATCTGGATCAATCTGGATTGATCGGGAACTGGATTTCCACATAGACCAAGCCAGTTTCACAGAGCTTTCCAGGAAGGTTAATGCTGATTGTGTCTCTCAAGCCAGGAGGTTACAGGGGTCCCTGTTAAATGGAGATTGGTGTGAGCTCTGGCTAGGTACAATAACTCTTGGTTAATTGTGCCTCATGTGTTGGGGAATCCTGGTCATAGTCAAATAGTGACATGGCCTGGGTGTGAGTTCATGATAACAGGGGATGTGGAGCAACTGGCATTTTTATTTTACCATTTGTTGTCTTGGTCTTTTACAGAACTTCAAACAATTATAGTTCTGTTTCTGTGTACAATATTGCTAAAAATATTTGTGATATTAAGTACATTGTTTGCTGTCTTATTTTTAATTGATTCTAATCTAATTTACCTAACAAACTATAGCTATTTATTCCTGTATGCATAGCACACGCTTCTCATTACTAGGATTTCTTGCATTCTAATAATTTGAAATGCAGTTTCTATTTATGGCACAACTGAAAGATTCAGTGCATTCCCTGAGCAGTGCAGCTGTAATTACTGTTAACAATACTGTTGTTTTGCTTCTTTATGTGTTCTGCTTGTCATATTTACTGCTTAGGTTTTTGCTTTCTAATTGTTCTTTAAAAAAAGACTGTTCAGAGCTGACTGGCTGTGAAGGCTGCCCTGAGCACTGCCACCCCTGTGGACTGCACAGACCTGTGCAGCACTCTTGTGCTTGTAGTGTGGCAGTAATTTACACCCACTGTGGAGAGGTTCAAATCAGGAAACAAGGAACAATCCAATTATTCTTTGGAAACCGTTTGTTTCAGTAGGACCACTGGTTTAAGGAATGCCACAGTTGTGATAAGTTGGAATGGAATCAATATGAAATGTGTGTGCTAAATGGTGTAATGGATTTTTTAAAAGCCCAACAAGCCCTGGGCATAAACTAAATCAATAATAATAAAATGTTGTTTAAGTACAACTTTGGTTAATTACCAAAGTTACAGATTTAACCATTTACACGTGATATAGTCATTTTTCTTTGTGTAACATAATCAAAATAATGTTGAATTTCATAGGAGTCCAGCATATTCATTTTGTTTCCTAACTAAAAATTAAGTAGTGAAGTTTAATATGAGTTAAGCCTTCAAACCGCTACACAGTAGCTGTATTTTTATAGGTGTGATTTGAATTGAAAGCTTTCTTTTGGCACTAAAGCATTATGGGAATGACTGCTGGAAACTGATACCACAGTGATTGGTCAGTTCAGCAGGATTTGTTCAGCTCTAGGGTGAAGTGGTCATACGTACAGTAGTTGACTTCTGCTGAAACAATTTAAAGAAAATTCATAGAATACAAATACCTGTAGCCAATCAGGTGTTCTTTTTCATATAAAATGCAGTGATAATAATGTTCAACAGGCTGTTAATACATCGCATTTGTCTAAATAAGCTGCTATTTCCAGTGCTCATGATCTCGGAAAGCTGTTGCACTGTTGCAGGAAGGTGCAGAACACTTCTCAAAGGAGTGACTTTTGAAATAGTCTTTCTCTACACCATTTTCTGTTGAGCTGATTAAAATAACTTTGTAATGTAAATCTTATTGTGACTTGTGACAAGTTGAAATGGTTCTTTGACAAAAAAGTATTTAAAAGGCACTTTCTGTCCTGTATTCTTCCACCATTGTGTTGATTTTTTCCCCCCGCCTTTTCCTCATGTCTTCAGCAGTTTCTCTCTTGTGGAGTGAGGCTGTGGGTTAGTAGGATTTTTAATTTAATCTGTGACTGTTAATTTGAGAATGTTCAAATGCTAAACTTCTTCAGACACTTCTTGTTTTTTATGCTTATTAAATTTAAAATATAATTAAATACCTTAAGTACTTCACGCCATTTTGCAGTAAACCCCTCTGCACAAGACGATGTTATGTGCCTGATCTTGCATGGCACAGTGAGGAAGTTAAAAAAGGTGAAGTAATCTGAGAATCGAGAGTTATCTGCTGATTGTCGCGGTCTTACTTTCCTGAAGGGAAAAGGGACAAAGAAATTTCAGTTTCAAGACGATAGAGAAATACTCATTAATAGAATGTACCTTACCTGTCAACTTGACAGATACCCCAGTTCAAAGGAATGAGTGCAGGCCGGAGTTTCTTGGTTGCTGAGGTCTGATCCCAGGATCTGCTGACATCTTAAGGCCGTAGTGAAAGGGTTTAACTGATCCAGTTACACCTTAATTGGATAAGATATATCAGTGTAGAGCGTTTTCATATAGACATGGCTATCTTCTGTATCATAGCACAAACGAGCATCAGTACTGCACTCTGTTGGGTAGGGGCCCTTATTATAGACCCTTTTGAATGGAATCTTTCCTAGATTAATAAGTAAATTAGGAAAAAGTTAATTATCAAGTAGCTATAACTTCTATTCTACTTCTATAATATTTTCCTAAGAATTACTGTGTTAAGATTTCCTACGAGTTCAAAGTCCATGGTGGGGGAAAAACAAATATTTGCAATCGCAAAGGCTACCAAATGGAATACTGTATGTTGTAAAAACTTGCTGTATTTTGCTTTTAAATTCGAGTGCTAATTTGTTCTGTGAAAAGTCACAGGTTGTTGGAAAGTGCCTGGTTTAATTAAGGTGCAGTTAGATTTGAATTATGTTTGCATTTTATCTGAACATTTTTACTCGCAGTTTTATTGCCAAACTTCCAAAGCCTTTTCTTTTTGTCTCACATGGGTATTGCTGCTTCCTCTTTTTTGACTGCTCTGCTGCCCCTCAAGTCCCTGTGCTTGTAACATTTCAAGGCTGAGACCAGGTCTAGTTTTTAAGTGCTTGATATTGGGTGTAATAGGACTGAAACATTGAAACATTTTTGTGAGGAGTTTCCTGCCTCCTGAAACTGAACAAGACCAGCTGTATTAGTTTTGAGAAGCTCCACTTTCTTGTTTTGGATGTGTTGGTTAGATGGCTCTGCTTGGACTCAGTTTTTTTAACTGGTTCTCCTGCACATCATTTCTGTAAAGGGAAAGTGTAACAGGTTTCCAGAGGATTTGGTTTAATTAATGCCTGATCTACTAACCTTGTGAAATGTTGTAACATTTAAAGTGAAATGTGACCTTTGCGAAAAGTGAAATGCGGACCATTGGCAAGGCAGTAATGTGAGGCAAACTGATGAACTCAAGTCCGCCACAGCCCAACAAACTCAAAACATGGTTTGATCATTGGTGTGGTGCCACTGGGCCTGATATCCTATGATGTGTTGTGCAACACAAACTGCCGCCAAGAAAGCTTTAGAAAAGAGTTCCTTTCTTTTGTCTCTAGAGGGAATCTCGGCTGTGACATTGCAGATCCTTGGTGAGTTGGTAGTTGTGCAGGTCAGAGGATGAAAGCTGGCAGTGCTTTTTGGAGATTTCACACCCGTTACTGCGGGTGTCGCAGTCCGCGCGGGGAACGGCTCCGAACGCGTGGGCGCTTCCAGTGACGGTCCCCCATCTCTCCGGCAGATCCTGACATTCGAGACCAAGAACCCGGTGGAGCTCGCGGAGAAGCTGCGGGCCGTGTGCGGGAACCAGAGCAACGCCTACGCGCGGCTGCTGGAGTACCGGCTGAACGCGCTGCGGGGGCTGTGGGGCGCGCAGAGGCAGCTGGCCCTGGAGGAGCAGCAGGACCGCGAGAGCGCGGGGGACGAGGAGACGCTGGCCCTGCTCAAGCGGCAGGGCCTCCTGCAGCAGCCCGAGCAGGCGCCCTTCACCTCGCGCGTGGGCCTGCTGCTGGTCTTCCCGCTGCTGCAGTCCCAGTCCCGCAGCGACCCCGCGCTCTGCAGCGTCACGGCCGAGGTGCTGCTCGCCTGCCTGCGCGACTGCCAGCCACTCAGCCTCACCAAGGAGCCCGCCGACTGCCTGAACGGCCTGGAGAGCCTGCTGTGCTCCTGGCTGGAGGAGCAGCCCAGCTCCCGGCAGCACGTCCCCCAGCGGCAGAAGGAGAACGCGGCTGCAGCGCTGGTCGCCCTGGCCTGCGCGAGGTAAGCGTGCTCCCGCCTTTCCAACATGTAGCATGCACAGTGGTGCTTCGATTCTGGCGGTATCGGAGAAGTGCAGTGATTCAGTGCCGTGCTTCCAGTTGCCATTAGTGATCAGAAGTTCTTGAGGAGGTTTTTATACATTATTACTGGAATCATGTGACATAGCTTGCAGGTTTTAAATAATCCTTGGGAAGCAAGCTGCGTTCACGGAGAACAAAATAGAGACCATGGGCGTTAATATGCTACCACCAAAGGCACTGTATTTTCTGTGTGCATCCAGCAGAAACAGCACTTGCTTTGCGGTTTAAATTTCAGGTTCACATACGTTTCCAATTCTGAAAATCCCAATTTTTTGTTTTGCTTTGCCTGAACCAAAAATCATTTAATTATGTAGTTGATTGTCACAATGATTGCATGCCACCTTTCTCTTTTGGAACAAACATTGTGGACTTTTGGGGGAAGTGCTTAGCTCCTGTTACAGCCTGGCTTTGGGACAGATATTAATTGAACATTGTCTCAATGTTCTGCTGCAAACTGAGTTCTGTACTGCCATAGATAATCAGCTAAACATTACTTTTTAGCTGAAGGTAGAATCAGCATGCAAGCAACAGGACTACAGTTCAAATACATGTCTAATCTAAATGAAAAGAAACAAACGTGGGGCATGCCTTGTTTCAGTTCCTTTTCATAATTATGCCATTTTGCACTGTAGGTTCCAGACCAGGTCTTTCTCCAAAGACCGAGTGTAGCAATTGGCACTGCTGTCTCTTTAGCACATTCACATGAAAGCAGCTTATCAAGTACAGGCATATGTTCTGCTGATGGCAGCTGTATGGTTGTCAGCTTGTCAAAACCAGAACTTCCCCTTTGTGTCCCTGTCAGGAAGCAAAGATACAGCTATTGTTTTAGAGAACTATCCAGGGTACTGTCTAAAGGGGTCTTTCCACGAAGTTTAGTTAAAATTACTAATTTGTATACAACCCTGTGTTGAAGGGTGCTGTACTCTCTTGTGCCACCTGATCTTAGAACTTCCTGTAGGAGACAGTAAGTTTAGAACGTGGCTTATTAAAATGTTATTTTAACAGGAGCGAATGCAATTTTTTATTTTATTTCTGTGGTAAAGATTATTAAAGATTATCTTTGTACAGAAAATAAGAAAGGCTTTAGAATCAAATACTAAAGTATTGTATCTGATTTAAATGCAATTTCCCGTTTGTATGCATGAGGTTAAAGGGAGAAAAAATATAATTGGATATAAGGTTTATCATAAGGTTTATCTGGAAGTAAATAAACATCTCAGTCTAACAACTTGACCAGTTTAAGTGTGTTCTTCTTGTCCTTGTCCCCAATTTTAAATGTATTTGTTGCCAAAGGGATATAGAGTTTCTTCAAAGTCTGTCTGACCTGTTTTTCAGTTTTCCTCTTGCTTTCTTCATTTTGGCTCCAGTCATTTGGGACTATTTGATTAATTGACCAACCAAGTGGCTGTTAAATGTTTTTCTTATTGTACTTTTTTTTAAAACCTCATTGACAGTGTTAGCTGCAATCACTGTTTTGAACTTCATGTATAATTCCTGTATTATTTATGTTGTCCAAGATGATCTCAGTCTGGGGAGTAGACACTCCAGGCTTCATGGAGATCAGAGGCAAGTGTTCTGTTTTTGACTGCATTTTTTCATTCTTTCACTTAGTTAAGTTTGCCTTATTAAGAATTTTGACTTTTGACATTGCGTAGCCTCGTGTGTTTTTTTAAATGTAATTTTGATGCAGTGCCACTATACTGTGTGATCTGAGCTAAGATAACATTCAGGGTCATCTCATTTTTTAAACGCTGCTGCTTCTTGCACATACTGTACAGTATATCATGTGAAAACTCCCGGCCTCATCTGGTTCATACTGTATATCATCATGTGAAAACTCCCGGCCTCATCTGGTTCATACTGTATATCATCATGTGAAAACTCCCGGCCTCATTCTTACTTGCAGTTATGGACAAATCAGCCCGAAGTTGTTTGGAAATACACAGTGAAACATTTTATCGCCTGGCCTTTTATTAAATGGAATGCTCTGCTAACTGGCATGTCCTCCATTAGCCCATACAAAATCCTCCTCAAATATCCGGAACGATTTCTGGATTTCCGGCTTCTTACATCTGCTTATTTCAGTAGCTCTGTATAGTGCAGAGAGTGTGTACTCTGTTACTGTAAACATCTGCTGTAGTGGAAAAATAGTATGTTGCCTTTGCTTGTTCTATAAGCTTTAGAGTTATTGATTACTGGTTTTCCCCCAACTTACTGTATTTAGGGTTAGGTTCTGCACAGCCTTACCCCAGTAATAATTCACATTCTGTACCTCCAGCAAAGAGAACTGCAAACAATTATGTAACAGAACTTTACATGCCTTACTTCCTAGTGTCAGCTTGATTTTCCCATCACTAGAATGGTTTACAGCCACGACTAAAAGAGTAATGCTGCAAACGCACAACGGGAATTACTCTAGACAATGCATAGTGCTCCGGACATCGTGTAAGAGACGATATGCACAGCAGGTGGAACAGCTGAGGCCACATCCAATGTTTACACAAAGTCAAGATGCAAAGTTTTATTTCAAAGGGAAGTGCTGTGATACTTAAATCCTGACTAACTGGCATGTTTGGCTTTCAAGTGGTTCTCATTCCTCGTGGATGCTTGACAGTGATGTTTCTATTCTAGTAATGCTAGCTTTCTGTTCTGGTCTGGTTTCGTTTCCAGGCTGGGCCTGCATTTACCAAGAACGGCATGCAGCAGGCTGCAGTCTAGGCTTTAGTATTCCCAAGGGTTATGGCAGTGGGGGTGCCATTTATTTTAATTAACTTCTTTCAGGGGCAGCAGCTAAGAAGAAAAAGTCTGCGACCTACATGCATGATTCCTAGTTTGTTCATGCTGGAAGATGTTTAAAATATCTATATTATGTGACTATTTTTATGCAGGCTAAAAATTCGACAACATAAGAGATGCAAACTGAAAAGAGCTTGCATTTCACTGTTGGCTTCAGTGAAATGTGTGCCTTCAGTCTTTGTGCCTTTTTTCTGCTCCCTATATGGCCTGTCAGCTGCTTCATGTCTTCAACTGACATGGGATCCCAAGTACGAGACAAAGTCCTTTTAACTAATTATTATTAAAATACTGTCAGGACAACCCATTGGCTGTTAAAAAGAACACACTTGAATGTTTTTTGCTAAATATATATGTGGACGATTTGCTCATTGTGGCTGCTGTTTGTGGTTGTCTATCTGCAGATCACAGATTATTTTGTACTCTACATTGCTGTGATCACCAAGTGATTGTTCTCAGCACCAGCTGCCATTTGTTTTCGTCATATCTGTCCTCCAGGATGAGCTGTAACAGGATTGCTAAATATATGGTTTTAACGTCTGAATGTAAGAAACACAAGAACACTCTGAACATATGAAAAGTTCCGCATGTGAGAAGGTCACATAGTTAGAAGCAAAGAGGTATTGAGTCTCTTGTCCAACCTTTGTCCAAGAAGCCAGGGTTGACTGGGTAACTTGCTCCAGACATCAGACCTTTGTATAAATAAAAAAATTATCTTGTTTTAAGCTCAAATTCACTGCCTCATAGTAGACAAAACTGATTCTATAATTGTACGAAGCAGAATTTTTATGCAGTAAAATCAGATCTGATGTTTTTTTTATTTAACCATTTTGCAGTTGTCTGCCGCAAACCCTGTACATATAATCAGAATGGCCTCTTCTCATTTGAAAGCTTTCAGCCCATCCTTCCTGATTGGTTGCTTCCAGCACCATCTTGAGAGAAACGAGCATTGTGCATGCTAATATCCATCCTTGTGTTTTGGCAGTTTCCTTTGCGTGAAATTTCCTGTGAAAATGAAAGAGTAGTCAGGATTCACATGAATGGAGGCTGTAATGGGAGATCTTTTTTTTATTAATGCATTTTAACAGTGGGTTGAACAGTGATCTTGTGTGTCATCTCATTATACTCGTCCTTTAAGAACATAAGAAATGTTCATTCCATTTGGCCCAGCTTGCACACTTTATATATATATACGTTCCATAACTGACTATAAAAATGAAATAAGCACTCAGCACAGAAATGTATCAATTATTTAAGGCCTGTTTACACTCTTTGCTGTCAGGCTTAATGACACAACTCCATTACATCATTGCCATCCCGCATAGCTCTTGGTTGGGGGAGGATGAACAGCGCAGCAGAGAAAGCTGCCCTTTAAATCAATTTCCCAGAATTACTGGAGACCATCTGCTTTGTCTGGGAATCTGCATCCCTTGGGTCCCTTGCTCTGACTCCCAAGTATGTGCTCACTCAGGATGAGTATCTGGGATTCCCCGGGCAGTAGAGCACATTTGGTTCAGTGCTGCTTGGGTAGGATTGGGATTAGCCGGCCAGTTCACTGGAAGAGTGATCTCGCAGCTTTCCCTGGCTTCCAGGTCACGGAGAAACGCACCTCTTTCAGTGGCCACTGACCCTTCTGTATGTTTTGGTGATGTTTGTGCCAGGGCAAATGAGTATCTCAGCGTGTAGGTGGGCTGGAGGAAGCTGGACAGGGGCTGTTGCTGTGAGGCACTAGGATGATAAAATTGGCATTTTCGACCCGGAGAAAAGAAAGGGTTAAACCTCAAATGGGGCACAGTGGGGAGTGCGTCTGCGGCACGAAACTGCACTGGAAGTGGTCTGTGGCCTGGGGGCAGGTCCTGTGCCTTTAAGCGTAGAGAGTATTCATTTCATCCATGTGGATTTGGATCTATCGCAGCGTTATTTTGCACTATTGAAGTGTTTTTAACTGTATTATACTTCAAAATTTCAGATGCTGTTAGATTTTGCTATGTAGTGAAGTTTCTTCGGTGAGTGAAACATAATGTACTCATACCTAAGTGTGCTTTCTGTGCGCCATGTCATATAGACAATAATATAGATATTACAGAGTGCATCATGATTGCAGTTTTGAGTTTTTGGTGGGGTTTATCTTTCATTGTGACATCCCTTTAAATGTGCCTTTGACTGACTTTAAATGTTTCCCATTTTAAAACACCAAAACTATGCCAATTCCAGAAGTAGGTGCTTTATTTTTTCGTAACGTCACAGCTGCTGGGCATTTTGCCACATTCATTTCTCAAGTAAAATGTACAGGTGATGCTGTCAGAGCTGCATTTTACCAACTGTTCTTGAATGTTCAAGAACAGTTGGTACATCCATTGGTACATTCATTAGAACATCCCTGTTCTAATGAATCTATTCTATTCATTAGAACAGGGATGTTTTTAGTGTTCAATAGTCATAACTGTGATATTTTGTAATGAGAATCCTTTATCTAGAAGGCAATTAATACTTTTCTCTTAACTGAGTTTTAGTCAAGAGGCAATGGCTGCTAATTTTGAAGAGAGGTCTGTTGTAAAACAAACACTAAGTATGGTGTATTGATCTCTACATTATAGTCTTAGCTGGGAATGCTTATAAACTATGTAAGGAGCTAAGAACATTAGAAAGGTTACAGACAAGAGAAGGTCATTTGATCCATTGTGAGCATTTTGTTGCTTGTAGATTATTGATCCACATAGCTGTTTATTGAGAGATCATGAATCAGCTTTGGCGGTGCAGCTGGTCAGGCACTTGTCCCCATCTTGTGAGGTTAAAACATTATGAAACATACTGTACTCTTTTCATGGAAATAGTTTTCATGCCAAAATGTCAGCGAACTAGTAATAGTATGTACCAGTACTGTGGGGGTTGTAAGGGAACTGTCACTTCTGTTGTGGAGTGTATCAATAGCTGTGCACAATCAAGACCAGTCTTGGTTTATTTACCACAGATTTGTAAAATTCTTCATCATCCATTTCAGTTTTCAGTCAAGGAATATATCTGGTCTGGATATGAAGTGGAGAATTAAACTGTCCAAGCAATTATTAAATACTACCAATTGCACTTAAAGACATCAACATGCAATGCAAACTACTGACGCATTAGTGAATTCCTGCACTAGTATTGATATTGTTCAATATGGTTTTATTGTTGCAGGACATCACCAGAGACCTGGATCAGACTTCTCTATGTGCCACAGAAATAAGTGGCTGCCAGTTATCGTATGACATTGTTAGAATAATGTTAAAAAGCTTTGGAAAACAAGGTGGTGACATTTCTGTTTTTCAAGCAGAAGATAATATCAAGTTTATCTCTAAAACTTTAATTTGGAAATATATGCATTTTTCCAGTGCACAGCTTAATTATTATTTTTAATTCCAGGGGGTCTTTGAAAACCTTAATTCACACTGTACACCTACTTCAGAAGCAGACCGATTTGGGACGCTTGCCAGTAGCTGATGTCCTTTATAGGTAAGTAAATATGTATGGCTGGCCAAAAGCAAGCTTCCATTTTTTCCATTAGCTTTGTTTTTTTGTTTTGTTTTGTTTATATTGATATGTATAGTTGCTGGCATTGGTCATGTATCACTGAAGGCAATAGCAGACCAGGCTGATCTATCAACTGGCACCACCTCAAGGGTTTACAGACAGTGAATGCATTGCTGGAATAAAAAAAAAAAAAAGATTTTATTGGCTCTTCCTTGGCAGGTTACTGTTACTGGAGGGGGGACCTGGGTCCCCATCGTGTCTGCTAGGTGGCAAACACATCGTCTCCTGGGGCTTTGAGGACATGCTGCCCGCGCCCGACAGCAGCGCTGCAGGGAATGACAGTAAAGGTGGGTCTGCCCTTCATGTGTGAGAGCGGGTGTCTGATCTCATGTAATATGGCAATTGAGAAGATTCCAGGGCTTTACGCATCGTTACAGAGTACAGTGTGCTGTATTAATGTAGTGTGCCCAGTTGGGTTCATCGCAAGCCAGGACACAACTTACTGTACAGCAGGTACTGACTGAACATGGTAGCATTTAGTAGAAAATTTACTTGCCTTAATTGTACATAGCCTAACTGCTAATGAATCTCTGGGTTTCTCCTGTTTCTTACATGCCTTGTCTTGATCCCAAATTAACAAAACTTGACCACAAGTCACTGCCTGTATTGACTTCTTGCTAACCATGAGTGCATCTGATACGACATTCCTAGCAGTAGACCAATGTAAGCAGTGATTTGTGGTCTGAGAGCTTTTAAATTTAACACAGTCAGCTTACTTTGTACCTGTTAACCTGTCTTGTTTTTTTTTCCGTTACACGATGGTTTCATTTTGAATTTAGCTGAATTTACATGATTGATTGAATAACAGCCACTCGTACAAGGCTCCTTTGTATCCTACAGTATAATCCTCCTTCAGATTACAGAACCCATTCAGCTAGAAGGAAGCGTGTCTCATCAGTCCAGTTCTGAACGTCCAGAGCTGTCCGATACTGCTTTCCAAGAAACATTGTTACTACTGTAGTTGTTTTGTACCTTCCTGTAAAGCAAACAATCTACGTGGGTCTTTAAGTGCTATTTGTGTTGTATTTAATTTCCATGAGGTTTATCGATGTTTCTTATCCAGCAATATGTTTTTTCCTTTTAGCTTTTTTTAAAAGTAATGTTTTTCAGGTGTTAAGGGAAGAAGCATTAATCCTAGAAATAGCCTGTTAGGATGATTTCTGCCAAGCAGGGAAAGTAGTTCAGTTTTATGCTAATGTGCTCTCGGTTCCATAATCTTCTAAATAGCTCATCTTATGTTTTCCTGCTTTAGAAAGTCTTTATCCCTTATTGGTATACATCTGTTTTTTGTAGTGGCGATGTGTGATGATAAGGTGGTGCTGCAAATCAAAACGTTTTCCACTTGAACAGAATAGATCAATTTAAAAACCGTGTTCTTCACACAGCTTCAGCAGATACCATCCAAGCACTTCTGTGTTGGACTCCTTGCAGCCAGAACATTGTTTCTGCTAAGCCAAGCATCATAGGTCCATTGTTTTTCTTGAGTTCTTGCACTTGTTTTGGAAAGGAGCAGAATGTGTAAAAATGGTCATAATTCATTTTTGGTATTGTGCGGTGATGAACAAGCTAGGACGGCATGGTTCAGCCGCAGTAAGATGGTGATTTGAGTAACTGGCTGACGCGGGCAGCCTGTTCAGCACCTGGGGCCCAGCAGTGTGCTGACCCTGCTGTGGAAGACTCTTCAGGGGGCTGCTGTGTGGCGGGATCAGGGCGGGAGAGAGGAGGCACTTGTCTCCAGAGCCAGGTCTGGACAGTGACGGCTCGGGGGCAAGTGGGAGGACTGATGGGTCCCAGGATACCAGGTTTAGTGGGAGCAGTCACTGTGGGGGGCTCATTTATCAGAAGCATAGACAGTTTAGTATGTGCAAACAAAAGAGATTCTCAGATTCTGTCTGCCTGCTGTGCATAGGCTGTAGACCTCCCTAAATGAGTGGACAGGCTTTGTTTCAGCATCTTGCATAAATGATGTAAGTAAGAGCTCGCTAGATCAAGAGTTATATCTCTTAACAAGAGATTAGTTTTAATCAGAAGGCTCTGTGACAACCATTCAGAGGGGCAAGCACTTTTTATATGGATATGCATTCCATTGACATTTTAATGTCAATAATAGCCATATTTCAATTTCGATTAATAACAATTTAACATGAAATAATATCTAAAATTAATGAATTAATATACACATTTTACCATATATTGTGATTCTTGGCCTTACTTTTCCCTGCTGAATTCTCTAATCTCAGGCTCGGTGCAGGGTTTGAAACTGCCGGTATGTCAACACAGCTCGAGCAACCAGAAAATTCACTATTTTCGCCACTGTAGTCATCACATAATTAAACTCATTACTTGAAATCTTGGCCCAAAGATTTTCCTGACAGATAATACAATGAACATCTGCTGTGGGGTGACCAATGGTCAATGCCTGATAATCCCAGAGCAGTAAATTAGTCAACACAATCCATTTTATTTCAGGCATTGTGGTCGTGTCCTGTCGTTGTCTTTGCAGATGCAGATTTGGGGCGGTGTCTTGCCACCGATGGGCTGTATCTTTATACGACAAACTCATTTGGAAAGGGAATCAGCAAGCTTGGCTCAGGGCTTCATGGGACTCTAAGGTAATGCAATGCTTTATTTATAGAAATGAAGGAATCTGGAGACCCTATAAATATTAATTCACAACCATTTACATAAAAGCAACAAATTATCTGCTGACCAACTAGCCAGGACTCTTGCTTCAGAAATGTGTTGGGATATCTTACACTTTTACGGTTATTGAAGATGCTTTCTTTTTATCACGGTAAGATTTACGGTAGAGCTTCAAAATACCCTAATTGGGACTCACTCTTTTGTGTACTGAAAATAATTGGTGGACCAGAAGTATTGCAAAATGTGTTCAGTCTTTTTGGCAAATGAAGTTTGGGTAGACACGCTTCCAATCATGTTTTGCAAACATGTGAAATTTTTGATTAAAATAGCTGGGCTTGGCTGTTCATCTCATCCATGCCATCATAAGGCTGAGTTGACAAAAAAGTCAAGAGAACCTTTTTAACTGTAAAAAGAGGCTGCAATCGCTAGTTTCCTTTGGCCTGGATTCACGAAGTGTGGCACATGATTGGGTGAGCACTGCCAGGGACAGGCTTGGGACTGATTGGCATTGCACTTGTCAGCTTGCAGTGATGTCATTGACAACACATCCGCTCCTCCAGTTCAGGCTAACTCACCTGTGAGGCACTGTAGCGCTCGCAGGGTGCCCAAAGATGAACAGCTGTCATGAGTAACTGGGCTGCAGGAACTTGTCTGCCCTGCCTCGTTCTCCCTGGATGGGTGCAGGAGTCATTGCAGTGAGCTGAGAAATAAGGAACCAAATTGTAATTTCGAATGGATGTGGATCTGGAGAAAAACAGAATTCCACATTGGAAGAAGATGATGACAGTTGGAAGAACTGTGCTATTGGGTGTTGCGTTTCCATGTCTTCCTGTTATTTATATTCAGGAACAGGTGTAATAAAACAGGTTGAATAAAACAAGCAGCTCCATGCTAACGTATTCAAGAAGGCCTCTTCACATTACTTTTTGTGAAAGACTCAATCTCAGAGGATCCCATCCTTGTGTCCTTGTGTTAATCCCGAACTTGTCCCTCAGGGGTTTCGTGTACTGTCGGAATGAGGAGCTGGAACCCGGCTGGATAGCGTTCGGCAGCGGCAGACTCCTGCACCGGCCCGCCTCCTTCGATAGCAAACCTCATTACCTCTTCCAGGTCATTGACCCCTTCAGCCTTCAGGTACGAGTCACCTGATGTCACCTGCCCATCAGGAGAGTGAAAATGACAGGTGGCGCTGTGACACTTCTCAGACCTCGTCTCGCTGGTCTACGAGCAATTCTGAAAGCTTGTAGGGATCACCTCTGCCATTACGCCACCTTAGACTTTCTGAATTGCATTTAGGCTAGGTTTTGCATTGTTGTAGATGAATCTTTCAACATATTTTCATTAAGGATAAGATTTTTAAATTGAGACTATAAGTTATTGCTTTGTCTAACCCTTTTGCTTTCCTATCCTGGTCTCTATTGCTTTTTTGCTGGCTATTTTATAGTTTGTCATTTTTAAAATACCAGGTGATTAGTAAAAAAGCAGCTGGTTTTGAAGGCCTTAACTCATAAGATAGCACCTTTTCCTAAATTGAGACCTGAGCACTGTAAATACACCAGAGCATGTTGTAAGACCTGAAGGCTGTTAAAGTCCGTGTGGCAGACTGGAGAAGGATACATACTTTGCTGGCCTCCTAGTATATGTTCTGGTCACACCTCCTACCACGCAGTATTTTCACATTTCATGTGCATCTTGTGACTATAATAAGGTGTTCAGTAATCTTGAGATATTGACTAACCTAGTAGTTTTTGTTCAGAATTAAAGAGTAGTATCACACTAAAGATTTTACTTTTTTTTCCTGGACAGTAGCAGAAATCTTCATTTGGATTCAGTTTGGTTTGCCTGGGGTGTTGCCGATGTCATTGGAGACAGGGTTGTGTTCTCTTGTGTTTCTGCAGGTGTGCCAGATTGTCCCAATGCCCGCAAATCACTTCCCTGTTGGCAGCAGCATGACCACGGTGCACCTCTGCTCTGATGGCACCTATGTGTACTGGATCTGGTCCCCAGCAAGCCTCAATGAGAAGACACACAAAGGACACTCGGTGTTCATGGACGTGTTTGAGCTAGCGGTATTTCTGCTTTCATTGATGTCAGCGTGTTATGTCAGTGATGAGTTATTATATGAGTCACTTGCCATAACTGTACGTGTTTGCTTGCTTTCGGTGATTATTCAGGTTTTGTTTTTTTAATGCGGTGGCATGCATGAACACATATTTAAACTACAATTTACATTACAATTCAATAAAGATTCTTGTTGAGGAAATTAATAAGTAGAAAGAGGGAACTTATCAGGGGATTTTATTTTTTCTTACTGCTGCATTTTACCCCTGTAGATTTATACTGCAGAGTGTGTTTGATTTTAATGTTTTTCTTAATGTCCTCTTGGTCCAGTACAGTGTATGAAGGTGAACAATATGCACCTTTAGCTGATCTGCATCTTAACTTGAAAGTTAATTTCCCATTAGAAATGTTCTTTTTGTAGTGCTTTATTTGGTGTTTTTTTCCAAAATGTACCTTAGGTGTCATGCCTTAGCTCATTATTTAGAAGATTTTGCATGATGTATTTCTCCTCCCACAGACGCAGAATGGCACATGTTCTGCCGGGGTCCTGCAAGAGAGGACCATCCTGATGAGGAAGGAGGGGGAGTCTTCCAAGTGCCTGAACGAGCTGCTGCTGAGCCGCATGTCTCGCTTCAGGGCGTCCCACTCGGCGACGCTGGCCGCGCTCACCGGCTCCACCATCACCAACACGCTCAAGGAGGAGCAGTCCGGTAGGCGTGGCAGCGGCCGTGCCCCCCCACAGACTGGCCGCGTGGCGCCAGCTCCCCCTCTCCCTCCTCTGTCAAGTCAGCTTAGCGTGGGGAATGTGTTTCATGGGGTTAGAGGCTCTTGAACGTTACCCAAGGGGGTGTTCGAGCTGCTGAGCTCAAGGTGGACACAAGCATCCCAGTCCTGAGCTTTTGTGGCTTTCCAGCTTCCATTTGCATACCTGATGGATCCTCATTACGAATCAGTGAGAAGCTCAGTGTTAGACCTGCTTCCTTCTCTGCAGTGATGACTTTCATCGAACTGTTGCAATCAGCAGCATATTGTAGCAGCTCTTATAGGCCTCACCGGATTCGATAAGAAAATGCTGTCTTGGGCCATGCCGTAGAAGACCCTCAGAATGCTTGTATATTCTTGTATATAATAATAATTGCTTACACTTATATAGCGCTTTTCTGGACACTCCACTCAAAGCGCTTTACAGGTAATGGGGACTCCCCTCCACCACCACCAATGTGCAGCATCCACCTGGATGATGCGACGGCAGCCGTAGTGCGCCAGAACGCTCACCACACATTCGCTAAAAGTCTTTCTCCCCGTCGGGGAATCGAACCCCGGTCTCCCGCGTGATAGGCGGGGATACTTACCACTATACTAACGAGGAGTTGTTAAACTCCTATGTTTCTTGGCTTGCCTTAAATTCGACATTGACCCCCGGTGGCAAGCTATAGGATATTTTCTTGATTCATTCTGCACGGCTCTGAAGTGAAGGAGGCTTCTTGAGAGTACTCAGGGGGAAAATTGCAGCCTCTGAGGAAAGGCTGTGTTGTGGGATATTTTAATCAGTCTGTGACACTGCTGTCAGCACATCCATTTCAAGCAAGAACATGAAATTAGGAGGTGATTGTGCTGGTGCTTAATTTGATCAATAATTTAAAATGACGAGAGAGAGACAGGAATAATTCTTGGAGTTTTTTGTTCGGAAATGCAGATATGTGCATGCGAAAAATCTGAAATATGATCATTTTGCCCTAAAAAATATAAATTAGACACCAGAGACCAGTGCAAGTATGGTTTACTTAGAGGACTTGGAGAACTATCATCATGAAAGACATGACAGTAATACAGCCTTCTTCAAATCCGTTCATAAGATTTGTGGAAATTATCTCTTTAAATGTGTGACGCACATCTATAAATACGTTGACTGCCAGTTTCCACAGGTCTGTGTTTCTGACAAGCCTCTGGGTGTTGTATTCTGTTTGCCCCCAGCTGTGAACACCAGCTGTGGGCTTCCGCTGAAGACCCTGCGCAAGACCCCCATGTACACCTGTGGCACCTACCTGGTCATGCTGGTCTCTCCCCCAGGGGTGTCTGGGAGCTCCGCCACTCGTTCCCTGTTCGGGGGCACCAGTGGGCTGTCGTCTCTGAAGAGTAAGAGTAAATTATTGTATTGAAATACAATCATTTAAAATTCATTTTAAATGCTTTTTATATGTTATGAAGTGATTTTTTAACTGAACTGTATCCTCCATTATGAGATGCTAACAATGCAATTAAAATAAACTGACAGAATTGGGCTATACATTAGTAACAGTACAGACCTGGGCACTACTGTGTGATACAGAAGTAGTAACACGAGTCCTATTTGAGTTTTCTTCCCTGTCTGCTTAATAGTGTCATGGGATTAGGTTTCAAAAATGAAACAAAGCAGTTGATACTTCCTGGAGTAGATTCTGTCTTGGTCTTAGATGAACTGTAATCACTGAAGAAAACCCACAGTTGGCACTGCTTCACAGTGTTGGTGGGGTTGGTGGGATTTCATAGGCTTCTTGAGAAGCAGAGTCCAAACCTTGAGTTTCAGGGACAGACACTTCATGCTTTTTGATCATATTGGTAGGTTTCTCACCATGCACAGACAGGTTCTATGGCTCCTTTTCTTCAGCATTCAGTCAAGGGTCTTGTGCTTTTCCAAACAATCAGGGTATTCTGGCCAGAGCTCGCCTTACTACATTCATCTCCACTGTTCTCATTAAGAGCAGTTTACAATCTAGTTGTCATAATGCATTCAAGCTAGTGGCACATCCCAAAGGATTAAAAATCATTTGATTGAGGCAACACTGCATGGAAAATGTGAATGTGATGATAAAGACATTAAGCTGTCTAGTGGGACTGACATCTCAAATACAGTATTGTTGTTCAGATCTAGAAAGGGTGGCTTATAGACCCTCAATGACAGAGAAATTAGCCAGCTAACTAATTTGCCAACTAGGAATAAAATAAAATAATAAAATGTTACAAAGATTATGTAATATTGTTATAAACCTAACTCTTTTTATCCCGATCATTAGTCTTGTCATTTGCAAGAAGTGTATGCAGATCTGTGCTTACTAAGCACTTGCTCAGAATTAAAAGCCTAAATATGTTACAAAGGTGGAAAAGGTACTGTATGTCTTAACAGGCATAAATAATTGAGTTTAATTAAATGAATTAGGCTTACGGATCAGTGCATGGTTAAGGAATAAGTATATGTACCTGTTATTCTAAAGTTGACAGCTCAGGGACGTTTGTTACTCTGTTGTGTGATGCAACTAAATACCATTGCTAAATATAAAACATCCTTTGTGTTTTCTCTGCTGTTATATTAATAGCTTCTGCTTACATGTGGGATTGACATATTTGCACTATATCTGCCATCACCTTTTACCCTATTTTAGGCTTCATTTGTTCTCAGCATTGCAGTTAGTGCCTGTGCTTTCATCTTTCCATGTCTAGTAAGTCCATACAGTCAGGGTGCTTGTCACATTTCTTACAGTGTTTTGTGTCCCAGGTCCCTGTTTAATTGCCTCACTTTTTTCAACCTATTCCCTAAACTCATATTCATTTTTTCTTTAATATTGCAGAAACAGCTGTACATACCACATTATACCATCAGTTCATTGGCCACCGTTGTCTGTAACATAACGATACACTGCCTGCGTTTGGTGAAAAACCAGAAGCTTACAAATCGCTATGGTTAGAAAAAGAGGTGTTCCATGTGATATAAGAAGAGATATTGGAAATATATTTGTAAATTAATGAAAAATACACTCTTCAGGCTGTGCTTGCAATAATAGACTTACAAATACACTGGGTAAAAGACTTCTGTTTAATATTTCCTTCGTATTGTGCTTTGGGCATGTAGTGGACTTTTGACCAGACACTGGAATTGTACAAATTCATCTTGACGACTGTGTAAAATTCATGGCTTTCTTCTCTCACGTCAGTCCTTTCCTCTAGTCTGGTGTTCAGCATTGCTGATGGCCAGTTCACCAGCCGCGCTGACCTCATCGATGCAGCAGGAAGCTCTCTGGGTCGGGGAGCCCTGGTGCCCGGACTGGGTAAGGTATACACTGACTGTAAGGACCGAGGCCACAGCCTCTGACCTGCCCGTCAATGCAGTTGTTCTGGAAACAAGATGATAACTTAAATGTTATGTGGCTAACAAGCATTATATTCCTACCTAAAATGCTCCTCAGGGAATCTTTTTGATGTTTTTGTCAGTGTAGTTATTCAGTGTGGTTTTCAATGAGTTATTCAATTAAACAAATGACATGATGTGCCACTGTGGAAATGGATTGTACTGAATGCTTTCAGATGTTGGATTTGTTCATGGGAGAAGATAAATGTTTTTTAAAATAACATTTTTTTTATGCTGTTGAAACTGTGAAACTGCTTGTATTTAAACAAAGACTGGGCAGCAGGTCCTGTGACTGTAGCACCCAGGCAGAAGACTTTTTGCAGGTTGGCACTGGTCAGAATATTCCACCGGGGAGCTTCGTTCTCTGAAGCCATGTTTCTGCTGTCCAGGTGCCTGCTATGATGCGCTGAACAACCTGATCTGGACTTGCTCCAGCGATTACATGGACCAGTGGTCGAATCCAGGGAACCAGGCTTTCCATCATGTCTGCCAGAGGCTGGGTGTGAGCCACATCATCAAAGAACCCAAAGGTGAGGTGAACAGCAGTAAGGCGAGTACAGACTCCTTACACGTAGCCCTGTACTCCACATCCATCTGCCTGCCACGCTGCTTCAGCTTTCAAGTCACTGTAGCCTTGTTGTAAAGTATAACCTCCCCAGAGAGCAAAAACTGCTGAGGGTTGCTGTGTTACTTTGCTATTTTCTTCTGAGAACTTTAAAATTCCGTTGACAGTATAAATTAAGAAAAATAATATGGACAATGATATATTTATGGATTTACCTGTAAGTAAAGTCATTAAGAATTAAACAACCATCTTAACAGTCGATTTGAAAGCAGCTTTGATGTAAAAGTTACATTGCAGTGTGTCCTCCTTATGTGAGTAAATAGTATCACATAATTGCTGGACCTAATATATGTAGGTAGTGTCATTTCTCCAGCAAACTACTCGGTTAAAGAGTGCTATCGAATTATATTTGTACCTGAATCTGAAAGGTAAATTAAATGTAGAATGTCAATGAGTCTGAAACAAGAATATTGCTATTGGTTGGTGTCTGTTTTTCTCATTTCCAGTACTGTACATTTCTGTCCAGGAAAAAAAAAATATTGTGGCAGTCTTTAGTTTCCTTTCTGCATTGTGTCATAGACGTTTGTGCTTATTTGTACCTCTGTACTTCATGTGTGTGATTGATGTGGTCTGGTCCTGATAAGGATGGTCGTAAACTGTATTATTTGCAGCAGATGTCTTCAGTGAAGACTTAGACTAAATTATAATGAATTGAATGTGCAGTTGTCCAAATGAGAACAGCTATTGACTCTTGAGGATGGTAGGTGAAAGCAACAGGAGTAATGAATATGTGGGCATTGACTATTATCTACAAGCATCAAATCTTAAATTAAAGTGTTGAGTGTTCAGTAAAAGCATACCTTAATCTTAATGTAATTTTAGTTTTCAGGTTTGCAGTCTTTTGCCATTTTTTCCATATTCCACTTTTAATTCATGAAATCTGCATGAAGTGTAGCATTTAATTTGTTCTTGGAGATTCAACTCCTCTGCAGCACTGAAGGTTTAAAATTGCATGTCATCTCATGCTTGAAAACAAATATGAGGGTTATGAGAAATAATATCTTACAATCTCTGGGTCTTTAAACAGCGAATGGACTGTGAAAAAGACTATTTGGTAGCGGCATGAGAAAAATTATCGTGTAACGGTTTCACTCCTTTGCTGTTGCTACAATCATCAGGGATTTTTGTCTTTTTTCTCTTTCTTACATGATGATGTCTCTTTACCTCTTTACCTTTACATGAGTATGTTCTCAAAGTCCTCCTGTCTTTACTCTGGGTCTTCCCCCCCATGTCCTCCAGAAGAGGCAGTGCACACCAGCGATGTGATCAACCAGCTACTGCACCATGTGGGTGCCATGTGTATCCACCAGCTGAATGTCCTGGCTGCCAGCAGCAACATAGCAATCAGCACATTCCTGGGAAAGCAGCATCCAATAGAAGCACAGCATTTCAGCAGCATCTGTGACATCATGGAGAAGGCCATGGTGAATGGAGACACCTGCATAATCCGCTGCATTCTGGTCGTGTTTCAGGTATGAGCAAGCCGCAGAAGTGAAATGTGTTTAAACAATGTCTTGTTGGACATTTTTTGCTTTCCCGACCACGAGTGTGGGTTTCCCGTCCGGACCAGCCTCCACCATATTCTTTTTGCATTCCTGTTTTAAATCCCTGCCTTCAATCCTGTTCGAGCTGTGAATTGCTTGTAAAGGTATTGAGCATTTTAATTATTACCAAATAGTGTCTGCACATTTCATCTCACTCTCTGCCTAGGTGGTCTTCAGGTTCTTCAGTCCTCAGACAGAGCAGAATCAGGAGATGGTACGTCGTGCCGGACTGCTGCTCTGGCAGTTGCTAATGGCCCCAATTGATCAGATTGGTGCTGAAATACAGAAGGAGGTGTGCCTTGCAATCAGGTAATGGACACAAATTCATGACATCACACCTAGGCCTCCACCACCCAGTAATTCTACAAGCTCTGAACCCACATAAGAATGTAAGAAAAACTGATGATGTGGACCTTATTTACACTCTTAGTTTCCTTACACAATTAGAGATTCTGTGTTGAGTGAAAAAGTACAAATGTGTATTATAAACCAGCTGTTAACCCAGAAAAAAAGTCTGCAAATGGTTCCATAGTTTTCTTATTTTTTACCAAATCTAATAAACGTGTGAAGCCATATGAAGGAATGAGACCTGTCTGTGTGCATGGCATGTCTGCCCTGATTGACCTCATGCAGCACAGGAGTCTTTACTGTAGGCCAAAATGTGAATAAACACCAAGCAACTCCAAACTGGATATTACATGAAAAATTAACTTTGCAAAAAATGTTGATGCAAAAAATTGATTTTGTTTTGTTTCAGTTCTGGATTAAACACCTTGTATCCCGGGGAGGCAGAGCTTAATAACCTCTTGAAGTTGGTCTTGACAGAAGGTAAGCAAACGTGGTAAAGGAAATGAAAATGCAGTCTGTTTATCTGCCAGCTCACAAAAAAGCAGTTGATTGTTAGAAATAATTATGGAAAAAGAGGATATAGAATATAAAGTTGTGAAATGGACCAGCTGTACTTGGTTTGCCAATACTGGGTCGAGTTAATTTCATCTGAGAATTCTAGTACAGTGCCAGTAAAAGGTTAATTCTGTTTATTTACACATAAACAGGTCTCAGTATATCACAGCTGTGTATAATTCAATGTTTATAAGGCTGAAGAGTCATCAGGAAGGTGATTCGAAAGTTGGGAGAAGTTTGGCCATGAATACCAATTGTTAAAGAGAATAAATCTTTTGACAGATGTGAAAGAAAGGGTTTATCTTGGTTTTTTTAGCTGCACTTGGAGTAAGAAAAGAAGGATTTCCATTGTTCATCTTCTAGGACAGGTTGTGGCTTGCTTCCAAACATGCGTTTTTCCTTGATGTAGGAAAATACCACAGTTGAGCTCCCTCTCCAAGCTGTCAGTTTGTTCCTTTGAGACGGAGGTGAGAGCTTCCCTATGGACAGCTTGCAACTGGTCTGATGGTGCTAGACAAACCCTTAAGTACCCTGCGAAAGTATTTTCTAATTTTGATACTTTAAAGCTTGCAGTCATGACCTTTTGAAGTAGCAATTAATATTACTTTATATGCACAGCCTACATCAAACATTCAAAGCATTAAAACAAAAAAGTAAAGAGATGGGGAAAATGGAAAAAATGATTGCATAAGTTTTCTAGCCCTTTCCTGTAGGTTAATAAGATGAGAGAATTAGCTAAGAGGCCTCTGTGTCCAATAATAATGGCTCTTACTATTTCAGAATACGACATTTCTGACAAGTTCCTTTATCAGGTAGTGAGTTTCAGGCAAAGACTCAACCATGAAGACTCTAAAAGTCAAGGATAAAGTCATGGAAAAGCACAGATCAACAGAAGGGTTAAAAAAATATTGAGGACTGAATATCCCTAGGAGCTCAGTTTACACAGCACTAAGAAATGGAAGGTGTAGTGTACCACCCTGACACTGGTTAGGCCAGGCTGTTCCTCCAGACAGAGCAGCCAAAGCACACTGGTGAGGGCAACAGCCACTAGGAAAGACACTCTGTATCCTTGGGTGTTTTCAGTGTGAGCATTTCAGTTTTGACATTGAGTTTAAAAAAATGTGTATGCCTTATTTTGCATTTTCACAAAATGGGACACCATAGGAAGGCTCTGAAGACTTTTAAATGGAAGTGTAAGTACAGGCTGTGATGTGTTTTTAGTTTGAAATTCATAGTGACCACACTGGCTCCTGGGAAGGAAATAAAAGTTTAAAGAAAGCTAGTACTGTTGCCAGTGAATGTGGTCGTGGAAGAAAATTCAAACTTTCTAAATGTGATGTATTATGTGACAGATATTATAGTACTGTAAGTACAGGTGTTAATGTTTTTTCAAGAACAGAAAGAAAACCTTTAGAGCACCATGATCTTAATGGCTGTGCAGCTGCTTGGAACACTACACTTATAAGATGAAAAAAGTGATCCTTATAGAAGAGTCCAGGTTTGAGCTGTTTGGCAGTAATCAACATCAGCTTGTTTAAAGTCAAGGCTAACTTAAAATCTAAGTTACCTTGACTGCCAAGAGGTCCAGGCAGGTTCTGATCCACCATGCCTTTCCCTCTGGAACATGTTTCATTGGGCATCCGATTTCAACATAAGCACACTGCCAAAGTACTGAACCCCTATTTGAAACATAAAAGCTTGATAAGACCTTCACAAAGACATTGTGGCCTGACAGATCCCTGATATGAAAATCATTAAAGCCATATGGGCTGTGTGGATGCTGAGAACATTAGGTTACAACCACATAACTTAAATGGAAAGTGTTGCAGGACCTTTTGAATAAAATAACACATCATTGATTTAAACCACACGTCAACCTTTGTATAAAGCAGAAGGCTCACATCCAAGGTTAATCTTGTTAATATTGTTTTCTTTGTCTTTGCATATTTTCAGTAATAAGGAATTGTGCTTGTGGTTATATATGTATTTGCTTAATGCTGTTTGTGTTTTACACACTCTTTATTCTGTTTACAGTGCCAGATATGATATCTCCTGAAAATATTTCTAAGCCGCAGTTCAATATACAGAGTGAACATGGCCCCTCATTGAAATTTAATGATGGAAATCTGATAAGGACGGTTATTTCTATTGCAAAATCACCATAAAAATCTTATCCCCAAAATGTTACCATAAAAATATAATCAGCAAAATGTTGTATTCCATTCCTCAATGTTTCACTGCTACTCCTAGCAGGGCAGATTAAATTTAGCTATTGTATTTTTCTTCCTCTTGTCCAAGGAGATACTGTAGCCAGTGTAATTCTGATCATGTACTTGGAATCCCTCCTAAACATGGCTGTGCAGTCCCCAAGCCCTTTATAGCTGAAGACACAGGACCCTTGATTAGAGATGCTGTTTGGCATGGCTCAGGGCACCTTGTTTTATTAGCTCAGTGTTACACAGTATTATTGTTATATTTGCACAGGGACACTGAAGTGTTGAAACTGGTCACAAAACTGTTTCTCTTTGTTTGTCAGATGTAGAGCTCAGGCATGTTGATACCAACATTGTCCGCTGTAGAGAAGTCATTAATTAGTCTCATTACTTAAAAGCAGGGGTGGTGCCATGTGGTAGGAGAGCTGTTTTTTAATACCATATGATCTAGTTGTCCTCCTGTTTCAGCCTGGTCTTTATTGTGTTGCTGTTGTCCACTGATTGTAAATGTATTCTTAATATTTAAAATATGCAATTATTATTATTATTAGAAGTCATTATTAAAAGTGGTGATTAATGTAACGTGATCTTCTCGTAGTCTAGGTTCATTTTCATGCCCATGTTTGTTTCAGGTGTTTGCCTGAATTTCCAAGCATCTGCTGAAGCTCCTTTTGACCATTTTGTTAAGATAAAAGATAAAAGAACCCAACATTGAGAATTGACCTTGGAGAGTCTAGTATTGGGAGAAAAGGTCACCCAATTATTTAATACATCATATGTCTGTAAAAGGGGATTCACTATTAAATACAGTTAGTACAGTCAAATCAAAGAAATGAATGATGAAGCAATGATCAAGGGGATAATAAGACTGTCTTCATTCTTCAACTTAAACTCAGAGAGAAGAAATTGGGTCAGGCCATATTAAAATAAACTGAAAGATTAAGACATTTTAAAATATGCTCATTCCCAGAAGAAATTCAATAAAGCATCATGGCACATCTGCATTTGTTGGTTAAATTATATGATTTTTTAAAGGGTCTTACCTTAATAGCTGATGCTGTTTTCTTTTGTTAGATGTGAGGTAGCCCTGCGCAGGTGTTCTTGAATGAGAAAGGCAGTCATGTGTGTTTTCAGGTGAGCGAAACGACGGCCTGTCACAGCTCCGAGATGTGATCCTCACCCACCTGGCAGACCAGCTTCAGAAGAGCAGGTTTGGGAGTGAGGATGATGAACATTATAGGTAAGAAAAAAAAAGCTTAAATGCGTTGAATTTGCTTTTTCTGAGAGCCTGCTGTCGTTTTTAATAGAATCGCCAGTTATATTTTCATCTCCATCATGGAACTGCCAGTTGTTTTAGGGCTGACTCTGCAGCCGGGACTTGCACACTCAAGCAGGGCAGAAGGAACGGGCAGATGTGTCCATCGTGCCCAGGTGCAGAGCTGTTTGGCACTTGCCATGTTGCAGCTCCACAGAGAGTTAGCATGTATAGGAGGGATGAAGCATGTCACACTGGTGTCATCACAGGTCGTCCAAGGCCTGAGAGCCCTGGACAGCCTAATCCCAGTCACAGTTAGCTAGTGATTTGACTCAGTCTGGGGTTAGTCTGGATCACTGAGCTCCGCCTGTGTGCTACAAGAGCATCTTCACTGTGTAGCCCCCTGGCCTACAGTACTATAAGTTCTGTCCCTCTCGTGTTGGGGTATACAATGACAATAACACAGAGAGTAGTTAAGTACTTCTCATATTATAAATGCGTTCTGATCCACACTGATCAGTTTGTCTTCCACTCTTTTTCTGCCTGGCAGGCTGAATGATGAATTGCTTCACTATATCCTGAAAACCGTGGTTCGAGAGTCCTGTATTCTTATCACCAAGTGCCAAACAGTCTCTAAGGATGACTTCCAAAAGCTGCTTTCCACAGTGCCAGTGAGTAATACACCACCCAGATGGTTTCAGTTCTATCAGCGTCTTTCGTGACTGAAAATGTTGGATTTTCTTAAAGGTAAAAGTGTAGGGGCCACATTTGTCTGTGTAAGCATGAATACATGAGACCAAATTTTTTTTATAAGATTCATTTGCATTGTTGGGCTTGTTAACCTTGAACATCTGCTTAACTGTGCGCACCTTTTCAAAGAAAAAATGTCCTAAAGCCACTGTAGATGTTTGCCTCCCTAATGGGACATCACAGTAGAACTTTACTTTCTTATTTCTTGAGATGTGGTGGGTTCACATCTTGTTAGGAATAACAACACTGAACTAATATATAAAATATTTACAGTTTTATACTTTAAAAGGATAGACAAATTATGGCTTTGATAGTGTCTCATCACAGATAAGATCCAAACTGCACCTGATGACAGTGGCTCTACAGAACCGTTAAACATACAGCAGTGTGTACTCAACTGTGCGTGGAAAAGTCACCAGTCACCATGAGTGAAGACCTATAGAATTCTTATAAGATCTGCTCCTACAGTGACATATTCCGTTGATAGGTCTGATTTGCTGTCATCTTGTGCCAGGTTGTCATGGCACATGGATCCCCGACACTCTTCCTGTCCAGGGGAGGTCTAGTCTGGGAGGCAGCTGACTCGAGCTCCTCTTTGCGGCTCTCTTGTGTTTCAGGTAGCCTCCCCCAGCCTGTGTTACCTCATGGCAGTTCAGAACCACCTCCTGAGCAACACGGTTCTGATCCGGCCCGACGAGAACGATGACAGTGACAGCTCCCTGCAGGGGGAGACAATGAAGGTACAGGTAAACATCCCCTTTAATACCCATTCTGCTCCGCTTCTCTGTCTGTGCAGCTCTGCGCCTGCGAGGCAGTGTGGGAGAATGAGTGTGCTGCGTGTGCATAAAGGTTGTGACTCAGGCCTTATGTATTTTATATATTTATAATATATGCATTTCAATTAAAGATTCAGATTGCCCTTTTGAGGAAAATATGTCGTTAAAACCGTAGATGGCTACAGTTTGAAATACTTTTAAAAGTTTTAAAATTAATACATATTTTAATGTATACATGTAAAAACCATATGTAATACCAATTTAATCTTCAGATGTTTATATGCAGTGGCAGAGAATGAATAAATCCACTGCATGTCCTACATAATCAATATTTGTATTGAAACATACATTTTAATGTTGATTATGTAGTTAAATTCGTATGTCTGTATCCCAGTTACAAGGAATAATTGTTGCAGAGCCTGCTATAATGTGTATGATTTGTGTACTTGAGCTTGTCCGTCCTGTATTTATTTGCTGTTTTATGTTGTATTATTTATTGTTTAATTAACAAGGTATGCTACATATAAAAAGAAAGTAAATTCTTATAGGATTGTGACAGACCCTATCCTAGGGGTTCTGTACACATTGGAACCCACAATGACCTTTATATTAGCCTTTTTCAAGGCTTACAAATAAGAAGGCAAAATTCAGAATCCCCAACCCTGTCTAACACCATTTTGAGAATGTGCACTTTTTCCACTATTCACTGGTAGTATATCACATTATTGACACCCATTGAGTCCATTTACAGAAGGAAGCCCTTTTGTGTCTATTGACAGGTCAGCTGTAATAGCAGTTATAATAATGCCTGCCTATATCCTGTCCTTTATATAAAATTACTTATACAATACAGATGGGGATGGAAAAAAATCTTTTTTTTATAAGCACTATTATCTTATTACTAATGTTGCATTATTTTCCTTAATTATCATTCTCTTGCTAATTATAGATGCCCATTTTCCCCATTTTGTGACTTGGCACGTTCTTTGCCACAGCCCTACTGTTTGATTTACTTTGTCTTGTACACATTTCCCAAGTGCAGTAAAAATTCAGTGACATAAGTTTCTGTCACACTAATCTTTCTGTGAAAGTGGCATTCCTCCCCACTTACTCAGCAACGCTAGCTTAAATATTTTTTCCCCTTAGACTGTGCAGCAAAAAAGTGCCCTACTTTTTTGTAATTCCAGTATAGTTTGAAATTATGAACTTGTTTTTAAATCTTCTCTGCCTAGGAACTTCAAACCAGCATTTTGTCTCTTGCCACCAAGATCCTAGTAGGATGCGATGAAGTCCTGGAGACACTTCAGCAGGTCACTACAGCTCTGATCAACAGTGATATTCAGGACAGGGAGAGCAGGTAATCCAGTCTTTCCTGAAGCTGCATTTAAAAACAGAAACAGAGTAACAACTGTCTCATCTCTTTCAGTCACCCAAGGCAGTTTTGCCCTCACTTTATCCTTCTTCTGGAGCCTGCATGTCATAGGGACTGTTATACGATTACAGAGTCTGTTCTAATTTTCAAATTACACATCAGGTGGTGACAATTGTAGTGATTCCTTTCCTTAGTATCTGTCTCCCCCCTTGAGACTTGCGTTAACACCTGTGCTCCTTATTTGTGTAAATAGTTCTGTTTAGTTAGAGCAGGTTTTCTTGCTTCGCCTTACCTGTTGTGTAGCTGCTGTGTTTCAGGTAGGGGCTGCATTTCAGTGGTGTGGGTCACCTCCTATATGTAACATGTATGTGCCTCAGGATCCTCTGGGGCAAACAGTGCTTTATAAGAGCAATTATTTTTAACATGAACCTCAGTGTGAACATGAACCTCAATATCCCAGTACAGTACAGAACTCTGAGAAAACTCCTTTTTATGGGGGGGAAAAAAAAGTTGTGAATTGTCTTTCCATTGCTTGGCTTATTTGTGTATCAATTGGGAATTGTACGTGTATTTTAGCTGGTGTAAGGCTCCACAGCAATCACTTGCTTTAAAATAATGGTTTCATTTTAAATCTTTAAAAGTCCTTTATGCCTGCGCTTCATGCTGCATTGTTGTAAAACAGTGATCATAAGCTCCTGGATCAGTCAGCCTCTGATGACAGAAGTAGCCGCTTCAGTCCAAAACAGTTTATAGTACAGAGGAGTGCCCAGTCATTGATAAGGCCATTGGTTTTGTCTGAGCTGAAGGCTCAGTAACTAGCTCATGGTGAGATGTGGGCAGACAAGGCTTCACCCCTTCTTATAACAAAGCCATTCCCTTCACCTGAACATGCAGTTTTCCCTGAACCTTTTAATGACCTGTCTCCTGGCTTCTCCTAGGCTGGCCCTGGTCACAGTGCCAGTGATAAAGTTGGTGGCATCCTCTCCACAGATGGCCATGGAAGCATCTATACCAGCTGGTTCGTACTGACAGTACTCCAGTGACAGACAGTTCATGTGTGTCTTTTCGTAGGCTGAAAGGTCTGGAGCAGGTGACCAAGGCCACCATGCTTGGGCACCTGCTGCCAGTTCTGCTGACCTCCCTGATGCATCCCAACCTCCAGACCCTCATCCTGGCCGACGCGCTGATGCCACAGCTGGTCCAGCTGGTCCTCTACACCAGCCAGGTGGGTCGTCGCCACACAAGCTGCCAGCTTTCACAGCGCTGAACTCGGAAACCACCGCCAGCTGCCTGCACTAGCCAATTGGTTAACTGCTCCCATATATATCCTGCTCATGCCAGCATTGGCTGTTAAACAGAGCACATTCCAGGATTTTCCTCCTCCCAAGAAACACCTCGCTTTCTTCTCGTGTGCTTTCTGACCTGTTGGCACAAATGTCAATTAGTGTTGTGACACTGAAACACGTATAACCCTATAACACTTACGTCTTACTAATGTAGGTTCTAAGTTCATTGATAACTACAATTATTAACTTAATTAAAATACCAGCTTTGTACTTTCAAAAACAGGGTTAGGGTGGTATAATGGGTCTGGAGGGCCAGCATGTCTGCACACTGCAGGTTTTTATTCCAACTCTTAACACTGTTTTAGTTGGCATTTTAGTTTTAAGACTGATTCTTTTATGTGTGCTGTTCTTTATGAACAGTTAGGTTCCTGCCAGCTGGTAACATTTGTAAATTAAGAGGCCCTCTATATTGTACCTGACTCCGAGGGATCATGCAGTATTTCTTTCTAATTCTTTTATATTATGTAGATCATTTTTGTGTTTTTTTTTGTAGTTTGAACAAATTCGGAGGCAGCTTTAGCCAAGTTGATTTAGCAAAGAAAATGAAAAGACATTTCGGTATTTATGAATTAGTGTATGAAAAGGAGTACCAATAAATTAACAGCATTACTACAAATTGTGTATATAAATATTATCTAAATACATAATGTTCAAAACAATTCATACTCTGTAATACAGTATATATTGAAAGTAAACGATCATTTCAGAGAGCCTGAGAACATTTTTACAATATTCCAAAGTCATCTTGACTGCCAGTGGGTATTAAAGGAGATTTAACACTGAAGAAGATACTCAAGACAGTACTATCATGGGGAGTATGAGAATTGTCCCTAAAAATAAAAGGTTATTGACCAGTACCGAAAAGGTATCAACTAGTACCAAATGGGCTAGATTGGGCTGATAGCCCTCCTCTCATTGTAGCTGTCCTGATGACCAGTTTCTATCAAACAAGTGCCGGTTGTCCACATGGATTTTCATGCTGTATCTGCTTGTAGCTGGTATCATCTGCCTTTGTAAATGTCTTCAATTCAGTCAAGCACAAGTGAAGAACACCCGTCCCAACAAGCTGATTTAGACCTTATTTTCCGATCGGAGCAGCGCGAGGTGTGAGGGGGTTTGAGGTCGGTGACTCCCGTGTTTGTGTGCTGCAGACGGCCCTCCTGTTGAAGACGCAGGCCCCACTGTTCTCGGACCCATCCCCACAGCCTGGGGGAGCCACGCTGCACAGCGCCAAGCTGCCCGTTGCGGACGACAGGTCAGCATGCTTGCAAGTGTCCGGGTGGTATCCCGTGTGTGGGGGGTCCCTAAATCTGATTCGGCCTGATGCCTCCCATTTTCATAATGTGAAAGCTTGACCCGTCGTTCTGTGCCAACCTGTTTCAATTTAATGGAATGATTTTGAGACAACGCATAACTATTTTAATGCTAACATTTAACAAGTAGTACAAGTTAAACTGCAAATGATACCACAAAGTTTAAGACTTTTAAAGAATAAAATTTATATAAGAGTGTGTGTGGTGTTAGAAAAGGCTCTTGTTTTGCTCAAGAGCTGACTGTAGTTGTTTTGGGTGTTGAACCTCTAGCAGTGTTTTTGGGGATCTGTATTCTTGCGCTGTGGTTTGTTTTTGCTCCTTTGATGGCGGGAGAGAGATGAGGGGTGAGGGTGATTGGAAGATGGCTTTTGATCTGTAGAGTTTGCCAGGCTGTTGAAGGTGGGTTTTTATCCCCACTGGGGTAGGTTGTTACCAGAAGGCACTTCCACATCTTTTCATGAAAGGTTTGCCAGCTCTAAGTGCAATTCTGTTCCCTGACCCACAATGAGGTGCTGAGTAATTTGGCACACCTGTCTGCTCAGCTTTCATATCCTGGAGGAACGGGAGGAGCCTGGCTTTCTCACAGGCCTTAAGATCCCCGCCCCCTGGGCAGCGGGCAAGACCGTGGAGACCGTCCACCCCGTCAGGGACAACTACAAGTTCAAGGAGACGGTGCACATCCCTGGGGCGCGCTGCCTCTACCTGCGCTTCGACCCCCGCTGCTCCTCGCAGTACGACTACGACAAGGTGAGCACGCGGCCGCCACGCCTCCCCGCGTTTGCGCTTCCTGGCCCGGGACGCACCAGCTGGAGCACATCGCCTTCAGCAGAATGGCTTCCGATCTGGTTACACATTCCAGCAGACGTCCACTTGTGATCCGGAGAGGAGGTGGATTGATACTCGCGTGCTGAATATGCTGTACTGTAATGTAATCTGCAGTGGAATTGAGATTCATATTTCAAGTGGTTCTGAAAAGGATTGTGTTCGTTGTTCTGGGGATCTTGCATTGTGGTAACCTCCACAGTTGATCTAGTTAACTAGAGTTAAGCCCAGTTCAAGATTTCAATGTGTTTCTTTTCCAAAACGGCAGCAGATTAAATATAACCTAACCTTGTGAAGATTGCCCACTGGAGTCAATAATGTACACTTTGAAAAGATCATGTTGAGAGACAGAGATTGCAAGATACCCGATTCATTTTAAGTCTCTTGCATAAGAATTTAAGTGATATGGACATTGAGCTTTCCACATAAAAACATTCAGGCAGAATATTTTCTCCTTTTATGGTGACATAAATAGCTACTGACAGAAAAGTAATCTAACCTGTTATTGTTGCTTCCGAAGTTCACAGTTGCACAATTTGAGTATAAGATGATAAAACATTCACTGTCCTGTATGTATCAATTAAGATTTACCTTATACCTAAATGTATGTGTAAATTGACTACTGTGACTGCAGACTGAAGCTGACGTAGTTTATCACAGCTGTCATTAGATATAGTATTGTTCCAGAAGCAGCATTTTTTTTCAGAAAAGTCTTATAGTAGAAAGGCACATGGACTTCTTTCTTCATGGCTTGACTAAGAATGACTTGACTTTCCTTGTCCTTAGCTGGTGATCTATGCAGGCCCGAACACCAACAGCAGAAAAGTTGCGGAATATGGTGGAAACACTCTTGGATATGGAAGCCGCAGTGTCTTGGGCACAGGGTGGCCCAAAGACTTAGTCAAGGTAGAGAAAATTGGTTGATTTCAGCTCCATATTAAAGCATGTGATTTAGCCAAAATTGATTCTTTATTACATACAGCGACAGCTTTAAGCTCCAAGAATGAGAAGGTCATCTTGCTACTTTGGTTATTAGTAGCTGCTTGATCTGAGGATCCCACAGAAATGTTTTTCTAATATTCTTTTTTCTTCCAGGGAAGAATGATGTTAACAAACTGGGTTAAATTACTTGTGACAGTGGTTTGTGAAATATTGCTGCATGTATTTCAGACATGTCTCTGTTGTCAGGTTGAGGGAGATACGGTCACTTTTTCATTTGAGATGAGAAGCGGCAGGGAGCACAACACTCCAGATAAAGCCATGTGGGGCTTCTCTTGTACCGTCAGAGCCCAGGTAATCATCCCCTTGGAATTTCAGAAAACAGACTTCACTTTGATCAGTACTTTGAACTGTCTCCTTTAATGCAGTCTTATTTTTTAAAGACCTTCATAAAGACAATTTCACAGTAACATGTTTAGTCATAAATGTCATATAATGCTTTTTAACCCCTTTTCACATATCAAGTATTAATGGTGATTTTAGTCTTACAACATAACTCTTCAGCTATGACAACTATTGTGCATTACACTGATGTACCTCTTATGTCTTTTCAAACAATGGTGAACATCATTGTAGCCTTATATATAAACTCTGTGAAGGTGTTAGCCTGGCTACATAAGACTGCAATCAAATAAAGCCATCGGTCGGTTGCTTGGATGATGCTTTATTAAAATAAACCTCCAAACTCCAACCCCATGCTTTCATATTTTATTTACTGGTTTGAATCCAATATAAGACTGTAACAAACTAAGTAACAAGTAAAGGTTTATTCCATGCTGAAAAGAGAAGTAAAGAAACGCATTTCGGCTGTACAGCCTTCTTCGGGTGTGAAAAACCTTTACTTGTTCCTTCATAGCCTACGCGTGCTGACGCAGCTGCCTACTTGAACTAAGTTTTTTTTTTTAACTCAATCAAATACAAAGCACTGCTCGCCGCAGTGAATGATCAGAGCAGCTCCAGTGAACCCTCCCGGTTTGGAAGAGCAGTTCCTGTTAGATCTGGTGAGGCTGTGTGTTGCGGTCAAGCTCACGGTGCGCGTGCCAGTCCTGGACTCCTTGGCTGGAGGTGCCGCGGTGGCTGAGTGTTGTGTCCTTGCAGGAGTCCTCGGAAGACGTGTCCGGTGGCCTCCCGTTCCTGGCGGACCTGGCCCTGGGGCTGTCCGTCCTGGCCTGCTCCATGCTGCGCATTCTCTACAGCGGGCCGGAGATCACCCGCGAGGAGGAGGCCTGCCAGGACCTGCTGTGCTCCAAGCTGCTGCAGAGGTCCGAGCGCCCGGCCGCAGGGCGGAGCATTCACAACACCCGGCACCTTGGCTTTGCAGAGCTTCTCTACACTGTGTGCCTGCTGCTGTCACTGCAGCTTCATACTGTAGATCATTTAAAAACATAGGAAAGGTCATGGATGAGAGGAGGCCA